TTTTCAGAACATCTGTGAATTCTGAAAAACAGAAGAGAATGCCAGGACTATAATGTGGAAAGAAAGAACTACCCACTTGTTAAAAGGGATGGAACCCCAGGAATGTCTGGTCCCCAGTCACATGGAGAACTGGGTTCCTTGGAGGACAGAGTGCTGTCCTCTGAAGATGCAGGCCACAGAGACTGGCAAAACGTTAGGAAGAACAACCTTCAGAACACGGCCAAAGAGCCCGAAAAACCCACAACAACCATTACTTGGAAATCATTTAATAGGCTATGTAACAGTTGTCAGAGCCAAACTGAACCTAAGAAAATACGGCTTTTGCACTGACAGTTCTTAATGAGTACAGAGAAGAACAGGCAATTGCATATCTCTGTCAGTGTGACCCACAACATATATTTTATTCTACCTGCCCCAAATCCTCTTAATGTGGCCTCCATTACTGAGCAAACATTTTCTGATATATTTATCAACTGTACTGTGGTGCTTATTGGCAAAGCAGCTACCATGTTCTCTAGACTCACAAAGAAGAACCCCAGGTCGTGAGCACAGTTTTAGATCCAGGTCTATAGAGCCTGTGTCCCGACTACACTCCTGTACTGCAGTGACTTCTGAACTCTTTGTGCACGGCAGGAGAGAAAGCTGAACACATTCCATATCCATTGTCTCCGACACATTTTTGGTATCACCTGGCAGGCCAAAGTTCCAAATAGAGTAGTCCTAGAACGAGCTGGAATTTTTAGCATGTATACATTACTGAAACAGCGACGTCTATGTTGGCTCGGGCATGTCGGGAGAATGGCTAACGGTCAGATTCCAAAAGATCTCCTGTATGGAGAATTAGTGCAGGGAAATCGCCCCAGAGGGAGACCACAGCTGCGATACGAGGATATCTGAAAGCGGGATCTGAAGGCCTTAGGAATGGACCTCAACTGATGGGAAGCTTTGACATCTGAGCGTTCAGCCTGGAGGCAGGCAGTGCTTCATAGCCTCTCCCATTTTGAAGAGACCCTTTTCTAGCAGGCAGAGACAAAGAGGCAGTCCCAAAACCAGCCAAATCAGGGAACTGGACAGGGGACAGATTGTATTTGTCTTCAGTGTGGAAGGGATTGTCACTCGTTACCATAGTCTTTCAAGACTGAAGGATGCCTAATCTAATCTAAATCTGTGGTGCTTTTGACATTAAGAATCTTAAGACAATACTAATGAGTGGTTTTACAAAGTGATATATTAGAGAAGTTAAAAATAATCTTCGCATGCATACATACATATGGGTAATAAAGGTTAATTTCTTTTTTTATTGTTTAATTTATTTTACTGGACTTCTACCCCGGCCACCTAGACCAAAGGTCTACTCTGTGCGGCATTACAAATTTAAAAACAGTAAAAACCAATAAATATATACTATAAATTCAAGATGGCAAAATGTGAATTTAAGATACGGCAAAAAAGCATTTCTACTGCTTTTTTTAAAAAACTTCAAGACAATAAAAGTCAACTTGTTTGCATTTTCTCTTTATGGTATATCAAATGAAGTGTTCGATTGTTCAATCATCACCATTACAGTACTACTAGTTTTTACTCCACAGCTTTTTCACTATTGGACAAAAATGAATATAATAAGTTCAGTTTCCCAGGTGAATCATATCTCAACAAAGATTAGAGCAGCACACTGTTACTTTAGATCTACTGACTAGAGAAGAGTCATGCTGCAAATTATATCCACCTCTTGGAACAGTGCCAAATATCACTGGGCACTCCCAAACTCCACTCATCTCTTGAAAGATCTCCCTGACTCACATTTCTCAGTCCTTTTCCAGACCTCAGGAAGTCTTGACTTTAAGAATAGGCTGTGGTTTTGTATGTACAAAAACTCAGTCCCCAAGTATCTTGCTTAAGTCTTACTATTTTTCTGTTCACCTATCATCATGACACGTTTCAGTAACAGAGGATTTCACTTAAAAAATTCTACCATACAACATTACTGGGAAAAAGCTGTGGAATTATTCTCAGAAACAGACTACTAGAAGCTTTAAAAAAACCAATGCAAATATAAGCAGAATGCAAACTGTGCAGTAAACTGAAACTGATCTATATTTTATTTATTTAATCAATTTATATACTGCCCATCTAGCAAACTGCTACTCTGGGTGGTGTACAAAAGAAATAAACAGTTTATATAAAACATACATTATGCATATGTTACAAAATAGTTCTATGACTCAAAAGCAACTCTTACAAGCCAAAATATAGATACACATTCACCAAAGTTAAACCTAATCCTACTATAACGCTGCTAAAGTTATTATCAATTATGGGGCAAAACTAAAGCAATATGGAGTGAAACAGCACCTTACTTAAATATGAAGTTACCAGCATGCAAAATTTGATTTCTAGCATAAGAACTAGCATAAAAATATTAACACAGCATTTTGAAGTTATAAACAAAATTTTGTATATGATGTGTCCAAATTCGTACTTTATTCAAACTAGTTTCATTTAAAATGCCTGACATTTGATATTACTGTATTTATACGTTAGTATAAGACTAATGCTTAGACTAATACTGCATTTAGTCCAACGCTTTCCATAAAACAGACTCACTGAAATGAATGGAACTTGTAAGCGGTAACTAATTTGGCATAAGAATACTGTGGCTGAAATCCTGTCGGAATAATATTACTCTGAAACTAGGATGGCATCATCTGACCACCACAGTAATATTTGACTGAAAGCTTCTTATTCTCCCACCCCCTTTTCAGATTGTGAGGTTCATCGCAGCTTCTTTTTACCTGGGAGAGCCTCTGGGAGCACTACCACTGGCTGTAGATTTTAATAGCAACAAATCACAAGAGCAGTTTTGATCCCAGAATGGGATTGGCATCAGTGATTTTGGACCATTTAAGGCCCTCCCTACCCCAGGGCTAGACAAAATTATAATAAGCACCTGTGCCTTATCCACTATGTTTCATCTTTAATATCAGACTCGAACAGACAGGGGGAAGAGAAACCGCTCTAGAGTCCCCAAATCCATATGTAATGAGAGGAGCAAGATATAAAGAAAATGTACAGTGGGAGGGCAGCAGTATATGTACAATAAGCACCTTTTAAAGAATCTTATTAATTAATTAATGAATCACCTTGATTCCCTTTTTTTGAAAGACAGCAGGGATACAAATAAAATTAATAAATTGTGCTTCAATTTCAGAATAAAATCTAGGGAAACAAGTCTCACTTGTTTGAATGGATCTGCTTTAGGTAGGATTATTGGATTTAGCCCCCTGTGCTTCAATAAAAAACAAAATAAAAAACCAAGTGTCCAAAAGGCAGAAAAGTCTAAGATCTTTTCCATCCTGAAAGTAAGTTGAGCTGAGCATTAAAGACTAAGTAATTAAATGCCCACTAAACTTTCTTGAGTATACACACCCTCACAGGACATTCAAACTATGTGTAATAAGCCAACCAGGATGCATTAATTAATACAGACAAGGCTAGACCTCAACAGTAGATTCTACCTCTTCTGCTGCAATCCTCAGCATATTTAAAATAATTTCCATTGGACATGATCCAAACAGAGCATCTTGAAGAGACTTGGGGGTGGGGTTAGGATGAGCCTGAGATCCCCCTTCATTAGCAGATGGATGTTTGCCCACAGGCCTCAATTATATCTTTAAAAAGCTCTATGGTAGTAAATTTGCATACTGTTTAGGATTGGCTTTGTCAGGGTTGGCTTTGGATTTTCCAAGCTCTACTAATCCTAGAGAGACACCTGGACTGGGCTCCTCAATTACTTCGGTTTACAGCTGCTTTCAACTGATGGAGGTAGGGAAAAGATAAGAGAACCACTGGCCAGGAAAAAAATGGCAAATCTCCTGAAGTTCAGTGTGAGCCCCCAGGGCTCTGGAAGTGGTCCAATGTAATTTATAGTTGCTGCCTTAATCAGCTTCCACTGAAATCAATACGATATGGTACAACTAACTTCTTACACTGATTTCAATGAAATCTAAGGGCACTTGAACTTATTCAGGATCTGAAAATAGTAAACCTCTGAATAAGGAGGTGTGCACAGATGCTGTACGGACGGGGGGGGGGCTTCCCATCAGAAAACTTCACAAGGAATCTCTTTTCTTCCAATTATTTCTTAGAAAACACTCCTGGATAGGTTCTGAAATGTAATTTCAATTTTTGATCTCCACAAAATCAAAGTGTTCCTATCTGCTGTCAAGTTGTTTCTTACTTGTGGTAACCCACCAATTAGTGATCTTCTAAAGGGTTCCTTTATTGAATTAACCCACCCCACATTCAGTGTGCCTGGTTTCCTCCTGCCTTTCACTTTTCCCATCCTTACAGCCTTTTCCAGTGTGGGCTGGGTAGTGCCTGTTCTTGAGCCTATGAAATGGTAAAGACCACACCATCTCCTGTCAACTAATACTGTACACTGTATCTAGTTGGCAGCATAACGATGAATCCTCATTCAGAAGGAGCACATGCTCACTTTCTCTCACACAGAGGACCCTACAAGCAAATATTTTCAGGATGGCAAGTAAAAAGTGAAGGGCCTGTATAGGATTTGGCAATCCTATGTGTGGAAATGTGGCCCTCGATATGACACAAGCGTCCTGTCCTCAATGCAAGGGCTAGTTGAAAACAGGCCACCTTCCCTCCAGCTAGCCCGAACACACCCCTTCCACAAAGCATCCCCCAAATAAATCCCTGGCAAGACGCCTCGGGGAAGGGGCGCCAGGAGGTTCCTGTGCCACCGGTCTGTCTGTTTCTCCATGACCGGGGTTACCTTCTCTCCCCCCCCCCAACACACACACCGCCTACGACCCGCCTCATCGAGGTTCCTCCCCTCCCCCCCCCACCCCGAGCTTCTGGCAGGAGAGCTCTGGCGGTGGCGGGTTGGCGAGCAGGCTGGCCCGCCCGGCGGCTTCCCTCCCAAACGACCAATGCCCGACACCGCCCGCGTCCCGGGGCTCCAAAGGCTTTCTTTCCCTCACCAGAAGCCAGCTCCGTCCGGACGAAGGAAGGAAGACACGAGCTGGGGGGGACGGCGCGCGGAGCCGCCAAGGCAAGCGGGCAGGGCGGGGCCGCCAGGACGGGCCCAACGCCCTGAAGCGGCGCTTTTCCTCCGGACGGCGCCTCCCCTCAGAGGCCAGCCGCACTCCCGAAGGGAAAAAAAGTGGGGGGAAGACTCCTTCGCAGGACCGCCGCGGGTGGCGACAGCGACGTCCCCGTCGCGCCGGAACGCCTCGAACAAGCCGCGTCGGGCGCCGGCGCCGATGCTCGCCGTTGCTGTTTCCGCCGCCCTGCCTGCCTGCCTGGCTGCCCGCTTCCTCCTCTGCCTCTTCTCTCTGGGAGCTGCGGCGTCGCTCTTTCGGCCGGTCCGAGCGGGCACGCGCCGAGTGTCACCGGCCAGCCGGCCGCTCACAGGCAGCTGGCAGCGAGGAACCAGCCTCACAGAGCCAGGCGCCAGTGCGCACGCGTCATGCCTATGACGGGAGAAGGAGGAGGAGCCGTAGAACTAACTGTAGAAGACTCATGCGCGGAATTAATAGCGGAATGGGTGGGGAGCTCCAATGAGAGGTTGTCAGTACCGTGGACGCAGCTGAGGGGAGCGGGGCGGCAGGGAGAGAGGGAGGGTTGGCTCGTTGGTCTTCCAAGCCTTTGGCGTTTCGGCACACGCTGCGGTAGTTTGCAGTTGTGCAACACAGTCAAGGCATGTCCGATGGCGTCTGTCACGCTACTTTTATTTCAGAACTTCACTTGTTGTACAACAGGAACGGAAAGCCTGGACAGATAGGTGTGTCTTGTCTCACATGCATGCAAGGATCCCACTGGGCCTGAGGGAGGTTCAGGGTAGTGCTTAGTGTAATGTAAAAAAATAGTCCTGACATTTTCACACATGAAGCTTAAATAAGTCTTGACCGAAATGTAAATCTCACAAGGATTGCCTGCTATTTTTGTCTTTTTCCTTTGCTGAACCTTGCACTAGCAACGTTTAGAGGTGGTACATGACAGTGCTTAACACATGCGTTACGAGACTTTCCCCTCACATTCTATAATAAACAGTCAACTTTCTGTGACTGAAGAAATGCGATCAATGCAGCATTTACCTGAATGCCGCTTATGCCTCACCAAGGGCAGAAAAGAAGATCTAGCAAATGGCCAAGATAATGCTACTGAAGTAGCTTGCTTCTGGTCAAAATTAGTCATAATTATCTTAATACTTTAGTTTGTTTTTAATGTTAAATATACATCATATACGTACATAATTTTAAATTTTGCAACACTGATACAACTAAAGAAAGAAAAGCTTGTAAATAACCGTGAACAAGATTTATATGATTATTCATGGTACGTAAAAGAGGGATAAAACCCTGAGTTATAATACTAGAACCTGAGTTTTTCTGTAAAGTTGATTTTCAAAGGATTCTAGATAGATTTAAAGGACATTTTTCTTCACAAAGTGCATAATTAATTTGTGGAATTCACTGTCACAGGATTTATTAATCACAGATGGCACAAATTACTTTAAAAGAGCACTGGACAAATTCTTGGATGCCAATGATGTGTTCAGATAGTGACAGGAGTGAATCACTTGTAGTATGTACTCACATTGTTGTTGGGATGCCTATTGCCTTATTCATCTCCCTCAGAATGAAGAACTCCACTAGACTGTCCTACCTCTGAGGGCACTCTCTCTGAACAAGAGATTGCACAGGCTCTCTGGAGAGAAACACTGACTGCAAAAAGCCAGCCAAAATGCTTTCTTCAATGAAAATTGTGGGAAAGATGGCAATGAAAGCTGCTGTGAGGGTTCTTGGTAAGGCCATGTTCCCCTTCTAATAAAGGCACCTGAGAGTCGTTTTCATGTTTCAACACGTTCAACATTTATTAACAAGGGGCCAGCAGGCTCTTTCACAAGGGACAACAGGTTTTCTTCTGTATTCAGCACTCCTTCATCCTCCAATGGGGATGAGAAAGGGTCCAGCATCAGCCTTTGGGAAATGACCACTCACATAGAGGACCACTAAAGAGCAGTGTCCACAGTTTGCTAAACCCCCCAACTGTTCTAGAAGGATACCATTATCAAAATCCACATAAAAGTCTGGAAGAGTTAACAAACTTGCATTCACCCTCACCACGGTGTCATTTAGTCTGAAAAAGAGGCCTATGAAGTATTAAAACATGGCTACTCCAAACAGCAGAAATGGGACAAATATATGTACCTCGGCGAGAAACGTAATATTCAGAGCAAGCATATCAATGTGTTATCATCACAGTTCAGTGATACAATTTTTAAAAAATTCATTGAACATGAATCAACATCTGTAAACACAGGATTACCCTGATAAACTCTGGATGATCTAGGAAATACAGACATATCTGCAAGTTGTATCATTGACCCATCTTTGTCACAAAGCAAACTCTGAGTCAAGATGGCTGGACTGAGAAGCAGATCAGCAAGTATTCCTGTTTATAGAAGCCAGTCTACAGAGTATTTGGCCCAGAGAGTATAAATCCTAAAACTCTCTTGAAAGCTTTGTTTATCCCATCTCTTTTTCCAAGACAGATATTTTGGTCAGCCTCAGTGGTTCATAAAGTGTTTTGTCATACATGGACCAAATGCTTCTGGCTATATGGGCTGGAGTAAGTGTAATGGCCTAAAACACAACATCAAATTAGATAATTAATGAGTTGCCATTTGGATTCTTTATACCATGCCAGTTACGTGACTTGGCACATAATGAGGAGTACAAGTGGCAATTAGTTTATTAGTGGCAATTTGCAGATGCAATTTCATAATTGTGTTTATGTGGGTATAAGTAACTAATAGGATTATGACTATGAAGTCTGATTCTCCCATCTCATATCTTCTCCCTGCCTCCATCTTTCTCTCAGGTTTTAATTTCTTTGGGGTTTCTAGAATAATTTCAAAGTCCCCTTCCTCTTGATCATTTATTTTGGCTGTCCTTAGATTAGATAGCCCTTCAGATGGAGAATACTGTATATTGCAATAAAGGACTGTCTTCTGACAATCTTTCAACAAACAGAGGACTGTGCCCTCCTCTATAGAGCACATGTCCATTGTAATAATGGTAAAATCTCATGCATTTAAGTGAGTCCACTCTATGTATGATAAAATGTGGATCCAAATCATTGTGTGCAAAGGTTTGCTCTGCTGCCTGCAGACAATTACTCTCTCAGACTCAGCAATCCTAGTATAGAGAGGGAGGTTAGCCACAGCAGATAACATCTCATTTTCTTCAGTGTTGGGGAATGTTCCTTGTATCTAGTCCCAAGTGTGCATGGACCACTGTCAGTATCAAAGAAAACAGAAGCAGCCACTGCCCTGAAAAACTCTGCACTTTGTGCTTTTAATAGACATTTTGCAGCCGTTTTAGTTCTGAGAAACAGAAGCGTAGAGCATTCATTTGCTCATCGTGCAATATTAGCAGTGTGCCTTGTTTATGGTGAGAGATTGTGATCTCACGAATCCAGAATTAATGACTCATCTACATACAGTATTGAGCAAGAGGAACTGCTGCATCATGAGAGCACAGATCCTTCAAGAACCAAATATAAAACTGAATGAGGCATTGCTAAAAGAGTCGTTATTCTCATATTTCAAACAGATTTCACGGAGCTGGAAAGACTCAGGCCAGCAGCAAACTTTGTGGCTTTGATGACTGCTTGGGAGTAGTCCTGTTGTTACATTTATAAAAAGCCCTTTCTTTTGCTCGGTTTGCCATATATTTGATAACCCTTCTTTCTGATATATTTAGAGAGAGTACTTATATATCCCTCAGTTGGCTTTGGAAACATGAACTCTTCCAAGGACTATATGGTATGGTACTTCTAATTGCTGGGGAAGGTTTTTGCTCCTTTGTTTCGTTTGTTTGTTCGTTTTGTTTTGTTTGCAGATATTTCTCCAATGAACTGCACAGATGGCTTGCACATTTGGATTCCCTATGTATCACATTTTTCCCCTTTAATGATGCAAAAAGCTTAATTCAACTCAGAGCATACAAAATGTGTGAGCCTGGGAAAAAATACATAGTATCCTTGGAAAATACAGCAAAGGTATGACAGAGCAGGAACAATTCCTAAGATAGACTTAATGTTATGTATATGTTAAAGCTATTTAATTTAAGATACTGTTATTGTTTTTTAAATAAAAGTTCATATAATATCCATGTTGGATGTAGACAGATTTGAAATTTAAATGAACAGACAATAATCAGAGAAGGGTAAATACCCCCACACAATGCAAAGTTCCACATGCATTGTGACATTTTCTCTGCTATGAACCAAGCATTTCCTTCATGGAAGAACGAGAGGTACGATATGTCCCTTTTACGAAAAGTGCTACACAAGACAAAGAGAAGTCTTAGTGTTTCATCCAGCTCTGATTGTGCTCTGGCATGTTCATACAGTCTAGGCACTGGAAACCAAGTTCAAAATCTGGCTTTAGATTCTGTTTTGTTAGGGAAACAACAAACCAGGAATTCCAGTTCAGACAAAATACCCTTCTCCCCCCCCCCCCCCCCCAAAAAAGAGTGTCTGATTATTGAACATGCTCCCACAGAAGGGGAAAGCCAGGTAAGACTGAACAGGCAGTGTCTACCAATCTGCTGCCAGGCTCTTACAGAAAAAACAGTAAGATTATTGTGGTTTCTTAAAAACCAACCACTTTATGCACGAAGAAGAAGGTGTAGAAAGGGTATGTTAATGGTTAGATCAGAGGGGAAAGCAATGTAAAAATACAGATGGAAACAACTGCTTTAACACTTAAATATATCTCAAATAATTATAGTGACTATTCACAGATGCGGTTTGATGACACAAACTTCCTGGTGCTAGTAATCTACAGGTGTTAATTAGCTTATCAGTGCCAGAATGTTTATGTTATCGTCAGCAATGTTTTTGTGAATGGTCACTGTAACTGTTTGTGATAGGAATGAAAAAAATGTCACAAGAATTCTCTTGTATTTTGGACATTGCTAAGTAACATATGATGTTATACCAACAAAACGTAGGCCACATCTAACCCACAAACAAAATTTACACCACAACTCACCCAGATCTATATATTACATATATAAATCTGATAAGGCTAAAATGCAATATTCCATGCAGGTGAGGAAGCAGGTAGAAATCCACGACATCTCATTTTAAAATAAATCTCTTAGTCTTAATGTTGCCACAGAACTCTTACTTCTTTGTTTTCTTAATCCAAAGAACTGCAAATAGTTCTGCCCACATAGGAGTCAAACAGCATAGCTCTATTACTACACTGCAAGTAACTTGTAAGAACAAGGCAGCTTTTGATAGGAATTTGTCATGGAATTGGAAGCCACTCCTCAAAGAAAATCAGTTACTTTTTTTCAAATGACTATGTTCACCTTCTGGGTGTGCACAGTGTGTCTCTTTGGGATCATAAGCTTTCTTCTAGTTGCATAGAAGCAGCCCTGGTTGTTCCTCCTGAGCCCTCCAGTTCTAACTGTGTCTGTTACACAGCAGCTTTCCTTGT